CTGGGGAAGAGAGTTTGGTCCTTGCCAGAAACATCACATTTTTCTGAAGGATGGCTGATTGTACTATAGAAGAATTTTGACTGAGACAATTTTATTCAGATATACTACAATAGTTCTGCAATTTCTTTTGCCCCAATACAATCTTATGCACACACTCATGACAATGAATTTCTTTTTGAGATTGGTATGAAATAATGTGGGTTAAATCACTTTTTCGACAAAATAAATGTGTGTAGTCTTTTTTCTTACAGGAAAATAGGAAAGTGTTAAGTTATCATACATTAAATTTCCTTTCTTCATGCAGTATTTGAAGTCCATAGTGACAAAATAGAAAGCGGAGCTCAGAAAGACAGATAACAGATTTTTGTGAAAATTAAGTAAGAAATAATATCAGCTTCTTTAGTGAAAGCAGTACACCTACATTTACCGAAAACCAACCCTGAGCTCCTGTACTGTGCCTTTTTTTTGGTGTAGTGAGAGGATGCTTACATACAGGACAAGGACCTGCCTCCTTCAGGCTTTAGTGTCACGCGTACCCACCTCAGCTCTTCTCCCCAGTACACTTTCACCATCTTCTTTTACCTGAAAATTTTTAAACAGAGTGTGCACAACTGCATAGCTTTCAAGCAAGTTAGATCAGTCAGGTCTAGGAGTTCGGCCAACCCAGGCGTGAGATGTTTTCCTTCCAATCTGAGCAGTAGTTCAGTCTGGGAGAAAACAGTGGTTCTATAGCAGGGTTGGGATTCTGCTAAGGGAGAACCCATCCCACCTACAAAACACAGTACTGGTAACGAGTACAAACTTCCCTTCCCACCCCAGAGATTATTTTCAGCTGCCTGGGGAAAAGGCTTGGCAAACAGCAGCCGTCTCTGGTTAGGTGAACCTTAAGCCCGTTATTATCTTCACACGATTCTCATTTCCTTCTAAAACTGTAACTTAAGTGGGAAGGAAGAGAAAGCACTGCTGTAGAATCACCACCCACGCTGCTCTGAATGTTAGCAGACTGTAGAAAATTGAATTTTCCTTCTCACAGATGAGCCAAAGTACATGGTTGCATCAGAAATTTAAAGAATCTACCTCTATTATTTAATAATACTGCTTGCAACAGTACATTAATGCAGAGATCACTGAAAGCTCTGGAAGCTGCACAGGCTGTTTTCCTGAACAAGACCAGCTTGATAAAAAAAACAGAATCAAATATTGGCCTTCTAAGGATTAGGCTCAGACGCAGCTGTTTCAATAAGAAGCAGAAAAATTGTTTCCACTGGATAATCTACCAAATGCTCACAGGAGAGAAGAAGCAAAGCTGAACCTCACTTCTGTAGCATGCTTGGCAGCAACACGTAGCACAGCAATGCCCAAAGCCAGTTGCATTCTCTTTTTAAAAATGGATTCTTATGTCAAGGCAGCGGAACAGGAAGGAAGCAGGAGCAGTCTCTAGTACACTCACCTCCCGGATGGCACCATCACAAACCCGTATTACGTTAAGGAACGTTGGCATGACCTGAGGCAGGAACTGCACGCACTTCAGCCCAAGAGATTTGAAAATAAAGGTGATGGCCTGAACTACCATAGTGTGGTGCTGGGACAAGGATTGGTCTCGGAAAATTCTCATCAGTGCCACCATAGAGACAGCTGGATAGAACTCATCCAGAGGGAGGTTCCCCATGTTCACCAACATCTCACTGGTACTGTAGTCCGCTAGGAGAAAGAAGATAGTGTCACAAGCTACATATTAAATGGTCTTGAGTACCAGTTTAGGAGCACCCCAGTATTAGGTGAAAACATGTACACTAATAGTTCATTAAGAAGGAGACAAACTGGTAATAACAAAACAACAAAAAAAACTAAAGCAAACAAACAAACAAATCAAGACCTGTTTGTAGATCACAAAGCTATTAATTTGAAATAAATTCGGATGCTTACAAGAATCCTGGCTAGATTTGGACTCTGAGAGGCTGACGGCTGAAGCATCCCGTGACTGATCAATCATGCCAATATTCACTTTGTGTTTGTAAGGGTCCAAAGCACCCAGCAAGCCTAACACACGAATAGCCTGATAAAACAGAAACAAAAAGAAAATTCATCAGAACTCCATCACCATGGCAAAAGTCAACACATGAACCCACATGTTTGGAAAGGTCGTGAGGACTAAGGAGAGAAGATCTGGAACTGAAGTGACTGCCTGGAAAACACTTCAGTACTTTCCATTCAACTGCTAGAGGCCACTTCACTAACCCAACACCACTTTCACCCTCTTAAATTTGCTTATTGTGCTTCTATCAGCCACAATAATGATCTTCCACCTCCCTCCCCATTCCGAATCTATGCAGACACATTTATTTGACAGCTCCCTCGCCCTCAAAAGCTTTTAGAAATGGTTGTGTGATAGCTTCATGTTCATACCTCTCTACGGGTGCCCTGGTTCTGCTCAGTCTTCAAGAAGTTCAGAAGCACCTCCAGCAAAGTTGGGTACTTCCTGTATGGTTCCACCACATAACCAGTGCTGGCCACAAGCTGTCCCAGTGTCCAAAGAGCCACCTGGAAAGATCAAGCCCAGAGAAGACTAGTTTTGACCAAGGAATTTATTATGTCTCCTGATCCATCACTCATTCAACTTCTGTAAACTTTGAGCATTTTAGCATCACACTGCAGTCCATGGTTTGAAAGCCTCTATAAAAGAGTGTTTTTTAATAAGCAATAGTAAAGAGAGAGATAATCAACAATTTGTTAGACTCTGCCATAATTGCCCTCACACAAATATACAATTCAAACAGGCATTCCATTCAGTGAGTCTAAGCTTTCCAATAAAACCAGCTTTTTTTTTCTTCTTCTTCTTCCCCTTTAACAACTCTGTACTATGTCACAACAGACAGACACTGCAATCCCTTACCTGTGTGCCACGAATGTGACCCTACACTTCACAAGAGAGACTTGAGTGATCTAAAAGTTCATTTTAGCAGCTATAATGGGACACATGGATATTTCATTACAGCTTTGGTCACAGTGGACGGCAAATTTAGTGCAGTTGTCAAGCACTTACTTGTCTTTTAGCCAGCAAGGAGGAATCCTGTAGCATGTCCATAATGATAATAAAGAGCTCATCCACCCACTTCCTCATTTCCAGCCCACTGACCTATTGAAAGACAAAAATCAAAGTCCTTCATCTAGCATTGCCAAAAGCTTAACAACTGACAAGCACAGGAAAGAGTTACCTGCAGGATCCCTACCTGTGCAAGCTCCCCTATGGTAGCTAGGACATTGTTAATCACCCCTGGATTTGGATCTGGATCAGGATCTTTCAGTTTCACAATCAGTGCCTAGTAGGTGACAGAGGAATAAGTTAGAATGTGTTTAGACTCCTTGCTGTAGATACAGTACTCAAAATTATATTATATTTCCTTTTGTTTACACCTAAAATTGATTCCACAGGGGCTCAACCTGCATCATGGTGAGCACTTCAACAGTAACTGAAACTTTCGTTTCACAAACTTTACAGAAATCCAGAATCAAGTTATGCTACACTGTCACATACATTAGTGTGGGTGACATCCACACCGATCTGAAGTTTTCTGCTATGACACAAAAGAACAGCAGGTCCATATGGTCATGTATCCACTTGCTCTATCATCACACTCCAAAGTTACCAGGAAATGCGGAGACTCTACCTTAAGGATAGGCTCCATATACGGACGAATGAGGCGTGGAGCATTAGAAACCAGGTGACCCAACATCCTGGCACTTTGCTCTTTAATCCTGCCAACACCGCTATGTTCCAGCTCCGTTAGAATCTGCAGAAAAGACAATAGAAGCATGAGAACAGGGAAAATAAAGGTAGATGTTAGAATCTGCAGAAAAGACAAGAGAAGCATGAGAACAGGGAAAATAAAGGTAGACAAAAATTCTTTGGATTTCCTCCTCTCCTGTCCAATGACAACAGAAAGAACAAACAATCTCAGCACTTTTAAAGGGTGTTCTACATTCACGCTCCATCCAGTCGTTTATGTCTAAATGTGGCTAAATTTGCATAAA